CTTAAAGAGATACGCTACTCGCACCCTCACTATCCATCCTTTGGCTCAAACAACCTTATACTGCCATCCAGTGGTCAAAGAAAGTACTACGCTCAAAAAACAAATTAACCAACATTTCTTCTTAAATTTGACAATAATTGCTATTTATTGCAATAATTTCTGAGACAATTAGTCGCCCAGCAAAATTAGTTATCGTGACAGGTCAAGTCTATTGTTGTCGATTTTTGAAATGCAGCTGATTTGACCGTCAAAGTGCTAAATATTTAGCAAGGAAAAGTTCAACTGGGACACATCTGTGCTATAATTTCGAGCAAGCAAATAATTGTTTTTAAGTGTTAATCTTGTTACATTCTTGTTAAAGTCCTACCGTGCACGCTCCCATGGCCGCCATATGTCAGCCAATCAATTTTTGGTACAACACCGGCCCACGTTTCCGTGTGGTCCGCGGTGACGCACAACAAACACGACACTTCTGCAGTGACGCATAATAGATGCAACTTACACAGCGAAGTGACGTATTTATGTTTTCCCACTTTATTAGACATTTTTGAACTGATGCGACTTATACGGCGACAAGTACGGTATTCTTATCTGCAACTTTTACGCCATCTTCTTCTTCATAAATGGGCCTGACCAGTGGGCAACCACTTTAAAACACATTTTCTATTTTTCTCCTGGTTTTTTTATTTATTTATTTATTTTTGCATTTGGAAGCCATTGCTTTGCAGCTCCTCCACTCCCAGCTAACCTTCAGTAAAACTATTTATTTTTACCACTCGCTTGCTGAAGCACACTGAAAGTGTTCAGGATGCAGTGAGCAGGTGTCATCTCCAAAATAAGCAGAAACACTGGGGAAGAAAACAATTGATCACATAGAGAACCATTTTCAGGCTTCCAGTTTGACCGTCACGTGTCCAAAGTTTTCCATCGTTTCTGATAAGACTGCAGCATGTGTTCATTATAAATAGCGTTTGACATTCTCCTCAAACGTTCATCCACAGCAAATGGACTTCCCCGTCCTGCTGCTTTTAGGATGACTCCATGTAGCAGCCTCTGACTGGAGACTGAGCCCTCTGTTGGTCACGTCCGTCTGACTCCGGTACAAGAACACGGCCCACAAAACACTCAATAATCGTTGTGTTTCTGCTCGACGGGCGATTTAGAGTTTGAGACCTCGTTCAGACCAAGGAGTTGTCAGGAGTTTCTGTAGGACCTGCTTGGAGTTCTTGCAGCAGTTTCATAGCAGGTTTAAAAGTTTCCTTTAGTTCTAACAGGCCTTTAACTTTACGCAGAAGGCAACCATTTGAGGCCTGGGGGTGGGGGTGGGGGGTTCACGTGACGTAGTGGTTAGTTGCACTGATGGGGAGGCATGTCAGTGCAACATTACAATTTTTCAGTACAACAAAGACTTTATATAAACTGCAACATGTCGTCTAAATGTGTCCCTGTCCTGCAGTTTGCGTTTAGTTTCTATCTGAAGCACAAGAAAATTGTGTTTTTGGGGAAAAAAACAAACTGGTTTCTCAGATTTTCCTCGAATATTCAGAATGAAAGGATTGTTTTTGCCTCTTTCGCCTCTCTTTTAGTGAATCTTCCCCTCGAGGTTTCTATGTAGACAGAATTCCTGAACGTCTCATGAAGGTTTCCACATTTCAAGGTGGTGGAAAAAAGCGTAACGTCTCAGCCTCATGGATACTTTTATATGTTTTGGTTCAGATTTTTTTTTAAACTTGTGTTTTTGATGAGTGAAGTGAGTCAGACAGACAACACAACGTTAGCATTGCATTCGGATCGGTGACAGCTTTGACTGTTTACTGCGTTGGTTTTGAAAAAGATGTCAACAAAATCAGAACCAGTTAGAATTTTTTTAAGTGATTCTTAATTTTTAATATTTCAGTATTTGCCAACTTACTGCCGAAAACCAGAATGTCCTGTAACGTAAAAAAAAAAAAAACTCCTAAAACTTAAAATATTTCAAAAGTTGCTGGATCTCACCTGGTCTGAAGCAAAATGTGTATTTGATCCAGTTACATGAAACTTTTAAAGAAGATCTCATGTGAACACTTTGAGTTAAGAACATAAGGGAACAACAAAATTTCATCAGCTTGTATTGAAAATGTACACATGAACTCAGATTTGTACAAAAGAGGCACAGTTTTCACAAAGTCCTAAAGAATATAAAGTGAGATTATATATTTAAAAAAAAGTAAAAAAATACCAAAAAATGACAGTTTCTTCCTGGGTGTCGTCTTTAGTGCAAACTAATGAAGTCTTTGAAAGAACGCTGAGGGAACAGTTGCCTCATCCTCATCTTCCTCCTCTATAGTTCATCCTCCTCTTCCTCCTCCTCCTCCTCAGAGTATCCATTATCAGCCGTGAATGAGGCCTCACCCTTGTATTCCTGGATGTCCTCATGAAGAGACCACAGCTGGCAGAGGAGGGACACGTCCAGCTGACGCAGACTCACCTGCAGCAGGAAACAAAAGCTCTGGTCAGACTATAGCTCATTTACCTGCCACCTCTCTGGTATATGCAAAAATAAAAACAATAATACAATAAATAAAAAAATGACTGAAGATGCTTAAATGACAAAAAACCATAGCCTGTGTGTGTGCTTTATTTATATATATAATATATACATATATATATACATATATATATATATATATATATATACATATATATATATATATATACATAAATACATATATATTTACCCTCTTAATACCAGCAACCAGCTCTTTTCTTGTCCTACTCAGCTCCTCTGAGCTTCCAGACCTGAAGGCAGTGTTCCTGGCTTCCAGCAGGGGGCGCACCTCTGCATTCAGCCAAGGTTTTCTGTTTGTGTAGCTTTTAACATTTCTGATGGTGAAGACGGTGTCAGTACATGTACTAATGTAACCCAGGACTGAGGATGTGTATTGGTCTAGATCAAGCGATCCTCCATTTTCAGCAGCTTCTCTGAAAACCTGCCAGTCTGTTCGGTCAAAACAATCTCTCAGTATGGGGCCACTGTCCTGGATCCAGCATCTTTTGTACCGGTCTGGAGCGTCTCAGCGGGGGCATGTCAGCAGGAGCCAGGAAGACTGAGATGTGGTCTGACAGTCCTAGATGGGGGCGGGGTTCGGCTTTGTATGCATCTTTTCCGTTGTGTAAACACGGATAACATATGTGCATTTTTATTTTCAAACTTTGCATGGAGTAACTTGAAGTGAAGCCACATACATGTGGAGATGAGCTGCTCACCATTTCTTTCCTGAGGAGCGCGAGAGCAGCATCCAGTCCTCCTGGTTTGGCTGTCGGAGCCTCTCTGCCTCCTCTGCTGCTGATTTCTGCCTGGATTCGGGTCCTCTTAATGTGGACCTTCTGCAGGTCCCTCCAGGACCCCCTGCTGGAGTTCAGGATGCCGCTCAGGCTCTTGGGCAGCTGCGGCAGACCCTCTGCTGGGTTAAACCCCGCTGCTCTGTGGAAACTCCCATTCATGTTCAATCTGTTTCCACACACACAATGACACAAAAACCCACTCAGGACAACAGCGTCACACACAGGCTCATTGTAAAAGTAAACAAAGCCACGCGCAGGATACAAAGGACTGGTGGGTACAGTACGACTTCCGGTCTTTGTTTTGGAGCTCCGTGTATGGGAGGGCTTTCAGTGGCAGCGATGTATGAGAGGCCCTCTAGGACATAAAGTATCTTAGATTTGGCATGCCCCGAACAAACCGAGCCAAACAAATGTCTGTTTTCTGAGGGAAATACAACAGTTACAACCAAATTATGTCACACAGGATAATTTAGTTTGTACACTTCCATTAAAGAAAGGAATTTTCAGAAATAACTTGACTAAAGCAATAACAAGTAATAGATGACTGATAAATCCTGACAGATCCTGTCTAACTCTGAATGTTAGGAAACACCTTGTAACTGTGACTTTCCTTCCCTCCATTGATTACAGTGACATTATTTACATGAACGTTCCTACAAGAACCCTGCAGATGTTGGATGCTGTCTATCATGGTGCACTAAGATTCATAACTGGCTGTGATTATCATACCCACCACTGCACCCTGTATTCACTGGTTAACTGGACATCATTAACTTCACGCAGACTCTCTCACTGGTATATTTTCATCTTTAAATCACTTCTTGGTCTGCTGCCTTCATACATCTCCTCCTACATGTCTCTGCGTGAGTGCAGCTACGGAGTGCGCTCTCAGGACATTATTACCTGCAGTGTTCCCTCAATGAGGACTGAACTAGGCAAAAGGGCCTTCTCCTACTCCGCTCCTGTTTCATGGAATATCTTACAAAAAGTTCTGAAGCTCTCAACCTTGACCTCTCTAAGTGTCTTTAAGAATCTGTTGGACTCCTGGCAGGGACCAATGCAGACATGTTCCTGTTTTTAGTTTTCTATATTTGCCTTAGAATCTAGCTGTTTTTTGTTACCTTTTTCTTTTAGCCATCCTATTTGTTTTAACAAAAATTAATAAAAAACTGAAGTATGACTTTTTATAACTGTTTATTGTTGTCGCTGTTGTCCATTGTTGTCATCATTCTTTGTTGAAATCAGGTCTCTCTTGTAAATGAGTCCTCGAGGCTCAATGGGATTTACATGTCTAAATAAAGGTTGAATGAAAAATAATGGATTTTTAAAAAGCATTCATATTTATTAAGAAAATTTAATGTCACAGGTTCTTTAAAACGAAACAAGAACTTTTTATCTGTTAACTCAATATCCAGTATTGACAAAAACGATCGCTTCATATTTCTGCCAGCCGCATGCCTAAATTAATCCAAAAGCAACTCGTGCACTTTAAACATTCTGATCTGAATTCAAGTGCATTTTTGAATCAACTTTTAATTCAACTTTAAACAACGATACAGGCAGAGAGAGAGAGACAGAGAGAGAGAGACAGAGAGAGACAGAGAGAGAGAGACAGAGAGAGACAGAGAGAGAGAAGCTAACTAAACCAAAGTCAGTGCTC